ACAAATAGTCAACCTTTAAATCCCTTGAAATATGGTTTCTTCAAAAGATGCTTATGAGTGCATGGATGTATGATGCAACAATCACACACAAGATCACACATATAGGGTTCATAGGTTCAACGTCACGAGCATGAGGTCGAAGGTACTACCCATAAGGTGTTGGTCTAAAGTTATCACCTGCCGAACAAGGTTCTAGAGGTTTCCAGAGTCTACATACTTCCTTCGAATATTACCAACTTTCTGATTAACTCGGTAATTAGTAATATTCTCAAGAAAGACTCGTCCGAGCGTAGTATCGCGTGACAACTATTTCCGGATTACTCCGTCATAGCTTCCACACTACACCTAAAAGGCAAAGATGGGTTTGGTATTCTACGGTCCTCAATTTCAGCAGTCTCCCAGGTCGAAAGCAGTACGTCTTCCTAATTACTCGGTAAACGACACTACAGTCAAAGGGGCATCCACTGAGTGGGGGATCTCATGCCTCCTTTTTTGGGATTACTCCTTCAAAGTTAACATGACTATACCGCCTGTCCTATCTTAAAGTTTTCCCAAGTCCGGGTATAGGACTTATGAGTAATCACCAAGCACCATGGAAACCAGGAAAATCCAGACAAACATACATATAACATATAACACAAAAAACAGTAATAACACATATACAGATATAAACAAAGATAGGCTTAACCCACTTAGGGATGGACCAGCAAGAGGTCAATATGTCCCCAGTGAAGTCGCCATTTTTCTGTAGCAGTAGAAATGTTCAAGACTAAGCCATTGGATTGACTAGACTTTATACAAATCAAAATAAAAATCGCCACCGCGCTTTATTGTTTCCAGAGGAATGGGAAAAGAGAGAATAACCCAAAAAGAGAGGGAAAGATTCAAGGTAAGGAGGTTGCTTATGCAAACGGAAGGTATTAGCACCCTAAACATTTACGGTACTCCGCAAGAGCCTCTTTGTAAAAATATGTATATTTTGGCTATAAAAACCGTTATATAAAAATGGATGGTGGAGGTGAGAAGAGAAACATATATTTTATGATTTTTGCACCCGCCGCGGTTGCGAACCTTTAGTGCCTACGTACCACTTTTCGTGCATAGGGAATCAGGGTACACGTAGTTCCTTTTTTAAAAAAATTTAAAACACAAGTGTGTTAGTCAATTTTATGAGATAAAATATCATCGTCATTGTCCGTGTGGAAAACATACCTACTACCCACAATCATGAGAAAGGAGAATTTGCATCATCTAAAAGTGGAGGATATGGCTTGGATTTTAAAATCAACAATACCTCACTCAACACCCAAGTGTAAAATATCTCTCTTCACTATATATTGTAGAAGTATAGTTGTTTGCATCACTACAAGGATTGACAAGAGTTTAATCTTTTGAGAAAAATTTAAAGTAAAAGCCAAAGTGGCAAAAATGGTTTGAAATGAGATTGATTGACTTTTAGTCTTCTCCTAAAAAAATGTCAAGTATTATTAAATTGATTGGGGTTTATTTATGAAAATGTTTTGAAAATACATGGGCATAAGTCCAAGTTTATTATAAAAGTGGTTCAATTTTAAAACAAGAAGGGTTTTCAAAAGGAGGGAGAAGATTTTTTTAAAATCAAAGAAGATGGGAGGAGAACAAGAGGCTATCCTAAAGCATAAGGTAAAAGTTAGGGATAAGAACCATCTAACCAACAAGAAGCCAATACTTGGCATTATGAGCCAAGATAAAGTTCTCATTCTTTGGATTGAAACCAAGCAAGCAAAAATACTAGACCTCTTGAGAGAACCAAACTTCAAGTGTATTAAGTCTTCATAAAAATTGGACAGAGTAACGGCTGTGTACGGGTGAATTCCAGATTACAAACAAAGGGTATAATCACAATAACCTACACATAAAACAAAAAAACAACCCAATTTCTTGAGGTAAATCTCAAGAGCTCTAGACAAAAATAATCAGATAAGATCATAAGGTTTCCAAGATAGGCCAAGGTTTCTAATCCTAAGTCCAAGAAAAGTCCCATGCTCCATAATACCAAGGATAATAGCAAAATAGTCCAAGTACCATTAAAGATTTTTTAGGGTTTATGTTGATTATTAAGTATCTTAAGAAAGGAAAAGAAAAGCTCAAGTGAGCAAAGTACAAAATGATAAGAAAATAAATGCTCAAATGAGCAAAGATAAAAATGGCATAAAATGTAAATGCTAAAAGTAAATAGTATATAAAGCATAAAAAAGAATAAAAGCATAAGGTAAAACAAATCAATAATTAGTGGTTAGTTGGATGACCATCTTGAAACTTGCATTTGGAACTCATTAGAGGATTGGTAGAACCAAAGCCTCCACATAACAAGTTGCATTTGCTTTTTATCAAGTATATCATCCATTTGGAATTTTCATAAGTACCATTTAATGATCAATGATGTTTAAGTAATCCGCGTTGACCAAAGGTGTTGTAGATCCATTAGAGGATTTGTAGAACCAAAGCCTCCACACAATGGATCTCAAGGTTATTGGATCAAAGAGATCAAATTAACATACTTGGGCTTGTAACCATAAGTTTGGGCCACGAATAATCATTTATTCGAATCGGGACAAAATTTAGCGCTATGTTAAGCAATCGTAAGTGGACTTATATAGAAGTCGCACCTATCTTGAGGTCGGTCAATAGCAATTTATGCACCATTTATTTTGAGATATGATATAGAGATCATGCTCCAATAACACCTAGTGCAATAAGAAGGGGATGATATGAAGAGGGATAGGGAAAAAATATACAAACCACATTTGAATTAAGTTTTAATCAAACTATTATTAAAATCATTCATCCATTTTTGTGGAGTTAAACTCAACACCATGTATCAAATGATGTTAATAAAGTTCATGATCCAAAATCTAACCCAAGATTAACCAGAAAATAGTCACAAAATAATATCACATTTTAATATATACAAAAGGGTTAAAAAAATAATGTTTAAAAATAGAAAATAAAGAGAAAAATATCAACTATGTTCAAATTAATCAAAAAATAAAAATTAAGACCATAGAAAAATCAGAAATGGATCCAAATATTTTTATAAAATTTTTGGTAATTTTTAAAAGTCAGAAACTATTTTTAAACTATTTAAAGTTGCTCAAACAAATAGAAAGTAGGTCAAAAATAGTAAACCTCAATATAAAATTCCAAAATTTTTCAGAAAGTCAAAAATATGCAAAATAATATTTATGAATTTTTTCATAATTAAAAAATGTCAGAAAGTATTTTTTAAGTAATTAAAAGAAAGCAAATGATTCAAAAAATACAAAAAATATTAAATATCAAAATAAAAATATGAAAAAATAGTCATGAGATCAGAAATAATTCAAAGTATTTTTGTGAATTTTTTCATAATTTTTGGATAAAAAATAAAAGAGTTATGAATTTTTGAAAATTTAATAAATAAAAAATATAAAATCAGAAAATAAAATAAAACCAAAAAGATATGGACCATCAGATCATAGTCAAAACGCGTTAGTAAGCTGATTCAGTGGACCAGACGCGCTGTGATTGATATGGACCTTAGTGAGATACACATAGGATCAGAAAAGGGCAACCAATGAAATTAAAATGTTTGGCACGCTATCATTGGCTGAGACGAGACATGTCATCATCTTCAACCTCTAGACACCCTGCAATGGAAATTTTGTGAGATCCTTCAAATAGAAAAATTAGAATCCCAGGCTAGTATCATTGAACTCGTCTCTTCAAGACGATTCTAACACCACAATCGCGCCAAATTTATATAAGGTATGGAGAGAGATATGAATCAAAAAACCAGAAAATAGCGAGCACCTTCAATTTGAGATTTCTCTCTCAATTCTCAATGGATTTAAAAATTGTAAGCATCGTTAGAATCAGGAGAAGGAGTAGAATAGATTAGTGCTTGATTTAGATCCAAATGGTGAAGAATTTTACCTTTTCGAAGTTCAAGGAAGAAGCTCTGAAACTGGACTTCTGTAGCTTGAATTATGGCTTGTTTTGATTGGTTTAAGTGCTGGAGAGTTTGTATGATGCTTAAGGATGATGAATGCGCAAAGAATTTTGGAAAATGGAGCTTAAATCTCATAAACTGAATTCAAAAAAGATGGGTTCGTGTGAGGTTTTGGCAGGGTGTTTTTGGCTCTCAAAGCTTGAGGAAATGAATGGGGGATGACCCTCTATTTATAGGGAAGTGAATGGGAATGAAAATTGGAAGAAACAAGGAAGTTTGGAGGAAAATTGAGTGAAGGTCGAGCATGAGTGAAGTGTGACTTCATTTCCATCAAAACTCAATCAAATCTTGCGTTTTGGGGTGCTAATCACTTCTGGCAAGTTTGCTAATCAAGTTTAAATCAAAAACGCGCATAAATCTTGTGTTTAGAAGTCACATGGATTTCAAAATTCTGACTTTGTGGAAAATTCAGTTTCAAGTTACCAAATTCAAATCCATGGCATTTCCAACTCAAGGGATCTTAGGGCATGATTCTTGATGCTTTAGAAAGATGAGGTTACAAGCTTTGCAATGAAAAAAGAATGGAATCAAATGGATGCTTGAACTGAAAGTTGCGTTGAGTCAAAGTTGAAGAAAAAGGGTTTACTTTCCATACTTAGAAATATTTCAAATTCTTCTTTAAAAATGACCTATAATCTTTTGCATCCAAACATGGCATTCCACTTGAAATTTGCTCTTGACCAAAAAAGATGGAATGAAATAGATCTCTTGAATGACATTTTGAAACTTGAACCACTCAAAATCTCCAAAAATTGAGAAAGTTATGACTTGTTGAAGTTGGCCAAAAATCATGAAATGACCTATAATCTTTTGCATCTTTAAGGCAACTTCCATCCATTTTCCCACTTTGCACATAAAAGAAGGCATAAAGTTCACATCTTCAAGATCATTATGAAAAAAGAATAGACTCAATGTGATGAAAATTGACCAAGTTATGATCAATTGAAGTTACTTATGTAAAATTGTGGATTCATCTGGATGACTTGTAATCTTTCTTCTTCACCAAGTTTATTCCACATGAAAACTCTTTGGAACCTTTGAAGTGATTTGTTGATAACCCTTTGAAGAGAAAGATGTCTTTGGAATCACTCAAAAATATCAAAAGGTGAACAAGATATATTCCTTTGAAGTTCAAAACCCTAGCTTTTAAATCAAGAAAATGCCTTGAGGAACTTTGACAAGTTTGAACAAACTTCTTGTGCCAATATTCTTGCTTTGTGAATAGAAGTTGTTGAGGATGATAATGAGGACTCATAGCCACCAAAACCACTTCCATATCTTGAAATTTGAGATAATTATGCCCTTGTGGCCAATATGAACAAGGCCTTGTCCAAACATAACAGCTTCTCCAATCAACCCCTTGTACTTTTGAGTCAAATCTAATAACCTTGAAATGTGATGAACCAAAACAACCTTGCCATGCCATTTCTTCCAAAACCACTTCAATAGTGAGGTTTGAACCTCTCAAGCTTTTATTGGCTAGGGCATGGAAATAAACTCATGAACCCATGGAGTAATTTATTAAATCTCATTGCCCTTCACCTACATGGATAACAAGCAAGACAAACCAACATTGCATTTTATTAGTTAAATGAAGAAAACAAAGCAATAATAATGATCACAAAAGGAACATAAGTTCAGGTGTTTGGTAATCCCTCAAAAGGAGCAAAACTCAAAGTAGAGAGGGGAACCAAGAATCCTAATGTGATATTGTTGTGAGTGAATCAACATGGTATGATGAAGGGATCTTAGGGGCAAAAATTGGGGTACAACACACATAAACCATGAAAGATAATGAAAATCCAATCGCTAAATCATCATTAATATCCAAAACAAAGTGATTCTCAAGGATGTAAAAGAGATTAAAGTTCATGAATCGAAGATGCTAAATCAGTTTTCGCAATTTCAAACATCCACCAAAACCAAGATCAATTAGCATTAAGCTCATGTACTACTTGAATAAAACTCAAAACATGTAAAACAATAATTCGAACAAGGTCTCTATCATGTTATGAGCAACCAGGCAGCAACAACAAAATACATTAATGCTCAAACAATTTCATCTCAAGCATGTTCAACACAAATGGAAACAACAAAACAATATCATGATCGAATTCCTCATTCAAAATCACACAACTAACATCCTAATGTCATCAAAATCAAGCTTAATTAGTATCAACTCAAGTTATGACTCAATTCAATTTCAAAACATGAAAAACCAAGTTCAAACCAAACCTAATTCATTCAAATCAATACTCGGGCAGAGACAACACATACATAATTATGCCCAAAAAAAATCTAAAACATGTTTGAAACCAAAGAGAATAAGAACAATGTAAAAGCCAAGTTTTCTCACTCAAATACAACTTAAATAAACCAAAAAAATGTCATCAACACTTCTTGAATTAATTAAAGTAATATGATATTGACATCACAACTCATTCTGATTTAGTATTGATGGCACATAGAGCATGGTATCAACATCACAACTTACTCAAATTGACTCAAGTAGCATGGTAATCCTTAGAAACTCACAAACATGACAATTAACATCAACACTTAACCTTTCAAAACTCACATTGAATCACAATAACATGTTTGTCATTTAACTTAAGGTTCTCATTCAATTTCAACATACCATTTACAACCAATAATCACCATTATTTTCAACACTTAAATCAACAACAAACATCATCATTATCAATTTCAACAATAACCCCATAACAATGTCATCACTAACTTTCAACAATAAACTCACAATATCATCACTATCAATTTCAACACTAAATCAATAACAATATCATAGATACCATCTTCAACAATTTGATTATCACAACAACAACCATAACATCCAATTCCACTATTAAACTCATAACAATAATGTCATCAAACTTCAACAATTTGTTATCACAATAACAACAATGTTAATTTCAACCTTTCCTTAATAATAATCAAATGAGCTACAAAAATGGTGGGAGAAATTACTTACCCACATACAAGGATGTGGTGGTGAGCGGAACTGTCAAAGTGAGACGGAGGGAGAAATGGTGAAGGGATGATCGGAAGTTGGGCAGTAGGTGAGTGCTTCGGTGGATCGAAAGAGGATCGGAGCGAAAAGTTACGGTGAGGAGGAGAGGCTGCAGAAGTATCACATGAAGAAGAGAGGAAATACCAAGCACACTCTCTTTTCCTCTCTGGTTTTCGTTTTTGCTATCTCTTCTCCTTCCCCTTTAACTAACCTTATCTCTATCTATTAAATAACACTAACTCTAGGTTTTCAAAAAAAAAATTAAATGGAAAAAATGCACCTTTTGATAAAATCAACCTAAAAATTAAAAGGATAAAAAATAGACAATTGTTTTAATTTTTTAGGAATAAAAAAGAAGACTCTGAAATAATCAAAAACGATAAAAAAAAAGACACTTAACTAATCAAAAACAAAAGAAATAAACATATTAAAGTAAAATACAAGTCACAAAGTCTAATAAAAAAGATTACAAATGATCAAAATAAAAAAATAAAACTAAAATAAAAATATTCGACTGAACAAACACTGGCGATTAAAAAAGAGACTGCAATTTGCATCGAAAAAATAAAGCGAGCATATCGATATGATCAACGCACAACGTAGATTTATAAAGCAGTAAGCAAAAGATGAACACTCGAAATATTTCACTTGTTAATTTTCTGATCAGTGTCAAATCACTCCTAACGATCTGCTTGTAGAACCGAAATATCAATATTATTGAAATATAATAAACTTGACGCAATGCATGAAGCGGTGTAAAGAGATAAAAATTCATGAAGTGAGATATCAAGTTTTTTTTAACTCTTAAATGATGCAAATGTTGATTTGAATTGACTTTTGGTCAACCTAAATGCATGAATGACCGATTAATAATGCAAATGCGATGGATGAATGACTCTGAGACAAAATTGGGATATGACAATTGCCCATATTTAATTATCCTTAACTAGATAGCATCGTAGTGAAAGGTAATTAAATACATAAAGACCCAGATTTTGTCTCTTGGGTAACAATGAAATGCAATGTAATGCACTGACTCTTTTTTGACATCATTATTTTTTTTTGTATATGATATGATATGAATGTGTAATATTGTTGGCTCCTAAATTCGACACCCGCGTTTTATCATCATATAGATCATTAATTATGAGTCAGAGGAGTTTTCTACACAAGAAGGCTTCGACCAGCTGATCACGTCGAAGGCTCATCAAAGAATGACAAGATACTTAGAGAAATTCCTTTAAGTTGGAATCTTGTGGTCTTCGACGTCGAAGGAGCAACCTCTCGACCAAGGTCCCTGATGCCCAAGATCAAACGGTTGGAATTCTGAATTGTTGGAGGGAAAACGGTTCCCAGCAGTTATCAAGCGCAACATGTCGTGCACGTAGACGTCGAAGGTTGTGAGCATGCCATGTGGTGTCATCGTGAAGCGGTGTGACTGCCCAGCAATTACTTAGTTTTTTTTAGTATAAATACTAAGGGTTCACGAAGTTATTAGGGGTGTTCATCATTGTATACAAGTCACTCATTTAGATTCAAGTACCCAGCGTGAGAGAAAGAATCATTGAGAATGTATGTGTGAAACACCATTTACCTTAATCAAAGTCTTTTATATTCAAGCAATTTATCACTTTCACTCATTTACTTCAGTGTCGAAGTCATTTATTTAGCAAACCTTTAATGCTTTTATTTACTTTATCAAGCTTTTCTCCATGCAATTTATTTAAAGTGTCCCTACTTTACTTGCATTAATCACCATTAGGATTAGTCAAAAATCTTTATTTCAAAGCGTTTAAACTCCAAAAATCAACCATGTCTTAGGATCAATCTGATCGATCCTGCGAGTCACCAAATAAGTAACCTTTTGGAAGATCAGCGGTTGTTTACCATTTTTCACGGTAAACAAATTGGCACACCCGGTGGGACTTTGTGTTGATTCTTTCACGTTTAATCGTCTTATATAAACTATCCTTCTTTTTCGAGAGTATTGCATGTTATTAAGAAGTGGTAGAATATACACCGACGAAGCCAATACTAGGAGAAGAGTTAGTGAAATGGCGAATCCGCCAAACAATGGAGAAATCCCACAAACAAACGTGGGAGCAATGGTTATCCCAACCGTAAGTGAAGTGGTAATCGCTGGTTCGACGCCAGCAGTAACGATTACACAAACGGGGCCATTACCTCCATTTACAGGCCCCAGAATGCCCTTGGGAACTCCCCCACCTAGGGGAAACCAAGGAACAAGACCATATGTTCCCCCAGGTTTTTCGACAGTCGGGTTAAATCGAGAACCACCCTATGGCATTCCAACTTCTGAATTGGCTAGCCTGACGAACACTACGTCCACCTTTTCAGATCCTTTAGTGAGCGCCTCTTCGCCACTCCAAGACTCTGGAGTTGGTATGGCGAACAGGGGTAGGAACCAACTCTTAGGAGGAACGTCCCACGTAATTCCTGGCCTTACGAATGCCTCGACAGCAGTCTTGAGGCAGCAAATGGACGAAAGCAACCACGACATGGTTCAAATGTTGGCACAAACTTTAAGTACAGTGCTAAATCCTCTAATATAGAATACCACCCAGTCGAATCAGCAAATGGCAGCGCAAATGTCGCGCCTGGCTAATTTTTTTGGGGTACCCCAACAAATTCGACAACCCCAAAGGGCACAGGTAAGGGGAAACCAAGGCATTCTAGAGGAAGAAACCACTATTAACCAAGTCCAGCAGCCTGTCAAAGAGAACCTTAGGGTACAACTGGAACAACCCGGGGTCGAAGAGCCGAGATTCGTAGCCCCAGAAATAAGGATGGTTAATAGAAACCAAAACGCTGACGAAGTAGTTCAGCAGATCCAATACCAGAATGTTGGTTTGGAGAATAACTTGACAACCATGATTGAAAGAATCATGATGCAAAACGGGATGAATACGGGCTTCCGTAGGCCCAACTTCACATCCTCGCTGTCGGAATATGTGTTACAAACGGACTTGCCTCCTAGATGCAAAGTCCCTAAGTTCACTAAGTTTTCAGGGGACACGACAGAATCCACTGTCGAACATGTGGCAAGATATTTAATCGAAGCGGGAGAAATCTCAAACAATGAGAACCTAAGGATTAAGTATTTCCCAAGTTCCCTAACAAAGAATGCGTTTACCTGGTTTACAACTCTCCCTCCCAATTCGATCCACCATTGGACTCAGTTGGAGAGATTGTTCCATGAGCAATTCTACATGGGACAAACCAAGATAAGCCTGAAAGAGTTAGCCAGTGTAAAGAGGAGATTCACTGAGCCTATAGACAAATACTTAAATAGGTTTAGATTGCTCAAGGCAAGATGCTTTACGCAAGTACCAGAGCACGAGTTAGTCGAAATAGCCGCAGGAGGTCTAGATTACTCC